TATGGGGTATGGGATATGGGTTATGGGATGTGGGGTATAGGATATGTGGTCATTGCTGCCCACACTGCCCCGCTCCCACCCCCCACTCCCCCCATAGGTGATCATGGTGACCGGGGACCACCCCATCACGGCCAAGGCCATCGCGGCCGCTGTGGGCATCATCTCCGAGGGCAGCGAGACCCCCGAGGAGGTGGCGGCGAGGCTGAGGGTGCCCTTGGAGCACGTGGACCCCAGGTGGGAGCAGCGTGGCCAATGGTGGCCAATGGGGGTCGTTGGTGGCCAATGGAGGTCATTGGTGGACAATGGGGGTCATTGGTGGACAATGGGGGTCATTGGAGGCCTATGGAGGTCATTGGTGGCCTATGGAGGTTATTGGTGGCCTATGGAGGACATTGGTGGCCTATGGAGGTCATTGGTGGCCAATGGGGGTCATTGGTGGCCAATGGAGGTCATTGGTGGCCAATGGAGGTCATTGGTGGCCAATGGGGGTCATTGGTGGCCAATGGAGGTCATTGGTGGCCAATGGAGATCATTGGTGGCCTATGGAGGTCATTGGGGGCCAATGGAGGTCATTGGTGGCCAATGGTGGCCATTGAGGGACTATGGTGGCCATTGGTGGACCATGGTTGATATCGATGGCCTAAGGTGGCCATTGATGGACCATGGTTGCCATTGGTGTTCTATGGTAGACACTGGTGGCCCATGGTGGCCATTGAGGGACTATGTTGGCCATTGGTGGAGCATGGTTGCTATCAATGGCCTATGGTGGCCATTGATGGCCTACGGTGTCCATTGAGGGACTATGGTGGCCATTGATGATCTATGGTGGCCATTAATGGTCAATGGTGGCCATTGGTGGCCTATGGTGGCCATTGCTGGCCCATGGTAGCCATTGATGGCCAATGGTGGCCACCACCATGTCTTGGGGAGCTTCAGCACCAAGGACAGGGGTCTAGACCATGGTGGCCATTGCTGGTCTATGGTGGCCATTGCTGGCCCATGGTGGCCATTGATGGCCCATGGTGGCCACCACCATGTCTTGGGTCGCTTCAGCACCAAGGACAGGGGTCTAGACCATGGTGGCCATTGCTGGTCTATGGTGGCCATTGCTGGCCCATGGTGGCCATTGATGGCCCATGGTGGCCACCACCATGTCTTGGGTCGCTTCAGCACCAAGGACAGGGGTCTAGACCATGGTGGCCATTGCTGGTCTATGGTGGCCATTGCTGGCCCATGGTGGCCATTGATGGCCCATGGTGGCCACCACCATGTCTTGGGGTGCTTCAGCACCAAGGACAGGGGTCTAGACCATGGTGGCCATTGGTGGCCCATGGTGGCCATTGATGGTCTATGGTAGCCATTGATGGCCCATGGTGGCCACCACCATGTCTTGGGGTGCTTCAGCACCAAGGACAGGGGTCTAGACCATGGTGGCCATTGATGGTCAATGGAGGCCATTGATGGCCCATGGTGGCCACCACCATGTCTTGGGTCCCTTCAGCACCAAGGACAGGGGTCTAGACCATGGCGGCCATTGGTGGCCCATGGTGGCCATTGCTGGTCTATGGTAGCCATGATGGCCCCTGGTAGCCACCACCCCACCTGGACGTGCTCCAGCCCCACAGATGGGGCTCCGAGGACCCACAAGTCCCCTGTGTGACCCCCAGGCAAGCCCGGGCTCGGGTGGTGACGGGGGCCGAGCTGGCGGCCATGACACCGGAAGCCCTCGAGGGTCTCCTCCGGACCCACCCCGAGATGGTTTTTGCCCGCACGTCCCCACAGCAGAAGCTGGTGATAGTGGAGAGCTGCCAGAGGCTGGTGGGACATGGGATGGGGGGTGTGGGGTGTCGTGTGTGGGGTATGGGATATGGGGCATGGGATATGGGGTGTGGGGTATGGGATATGGGGTATGGGATATGGGGTGTGGGGTATGGGGTATGGGATATGGGGTATGGTGTATGGGGTATGGGATATGGGGTATGGGATATGGGGTATGGGATATGGGGTATGGGGTATGGGATATGGGGTATGGGATATGGGGTGTGGGGTATGGGGTGTATGGGATATGGGGTATGGGGTATGGAATATGGGGTATGGGATATGGGGTATATGGGGTGTGGGATATGGGGTGTGGGATATGGGGTATGGGGTATGGGGTATGGGATATGGGATATGGGGTATGGTGTACGGGGTGTGGGGTGTGGGGTATGGGATATGGGGTGTGGGATATAGGATATGGGATACGGGATATGGGGTGTGGGATATGGGGTATGGGATATGGGATATGGGGTATGGTGTATGGGGTGTGGGGTGTGGGGTATGGGATATGGGGTGTGGGATATAGGATATGGGATACGGGATATGGGGTGTGGGATATGGGGTGTGGGTTGTGGGGTGTGGGGTATGGGGTGTGGGGTATGGGATGTGGGGTATGGGGTATGGAGTATGGGGTATGGAGTATGGGGTATGGAGTGTGGGGTATGGAGTATGGGATATGGGGTATGAGATATGGGGTATGGGATGTGGGGTGTGGGATATGGGGTATGAGATGCAGGGTGTGGGATATGGGGCGTCAGGTAGTCATGAAGTATGGGGTATGGAGTATGGGATATGGGGTATGGAATATGGGGTGTGGGATATGGGGTATGGGATATGGGGCGTCAGGTATGGGGTGTGGGATGTGGGATATGGGGTATGGGATGTGGGGTATCGGATATGGGGCGTCAGGTATGGGGTGTGGGATGTGGGATATGGGGTATGGGATATGGAGTGTGGCGTATGGGATATGGGGTATGGGGCTCTCTGGGTCTTCCCTCTTAGCCTCCTTGGCTCCTCCTGCACCCCACATCCCCATACCCCAACCCCCCCATCCCCACCGCCCCCTAACCCCACATCCCCATCCCCTAGGGCGCCATCGTGGCGGTGACGGGCGACGGCGTCAACGATTCGCCGGCGTTGAAGAAGGCCGACATCGGCGTGGCCATGGGCATCGCCGGCTCCGACGCCGCCAAGAACGCCGCCGACATGATCCTATTGGACGACAACTTCGCCTCCATCGTCACCGGCGTCGAGCAGGGTGAGACGGGGCCGTGGGGCGCAATGGGGCGGGGGGGGGGGACACCCGACATTGAGGTCTATGGGGGTTTGGGGACCCAACGTTGAGGTCTATGGGGGTTTGGGGACCCAACGTTGAGGTCGATGGGGGTTTGGGGACCCAACGTTGAGGTCGATGGGGGTTTGGACACCCCCATTGGGTCTTTGGGTCCTTGTCCATTGGGTCCTTGGCCATTGGGTCTTTGGGTCTTTGGCCATTGGGTCTTTGGGTCCTTGGGTCCTTGGCCATTGGGTCTTTGGCCATTGGGTCTTTGGGTCCTTGGGTCCTTGACCATTGGGTCCTTGGGTCCTTGGGTCTTTGGTTCGTTGGCCATTGGGTCTTTGGCTCCTTGCCCATTGGGTCTTTGGCTCCTTGCCCATTGGGTCCTTGGGTCTTTGGCTCCTTGCCCATTGGGTCTTTGGGTCCTTGGCCCCATCGCCAGGCCCTGACCCCCTCCTTTCCTTCCCCACCCCCCCCAAAAGGCCGCCTGATCTTCGACAACCTCAAGAAGTCCATTGCCTACACCTTGACCAAGAACATCCCCGAGCTGACCCCTTACCTCATCTACATCACGGCCAGCGTCCCCCTGCCCCTCGGCTGCATCACCATCCTCTTCATCGAGCTCTGCACCGACATCGTGAGCCCCATTGTTGGGGGGTGGGGTTGGGGGGGGGTGTTCCTCGCCCCGATTACACCCTATAGGGACATCTCCCCATAGGAGATGATGGAGGCATTGGGGGTCCTGTATGGATGTGTGGGTCACCACCATCGAGTCTCCATTGATAGGGGTTCATCCATTGAGGGTCTCCATTGGGGTGCCCCATAGGAGATGATGGAGGCATTGGGGGTCCCATATGTGGGTCACCACCATCGAGTCCCCATTGAAAAGGGTCCATCCATTGAGGTTCTCCATAGGGGTGCCCCATAGGAACTGGCTACCCCATAGGATCCATGGGGCTGCCCTATAGACATATGGGTCACCCCCATTGACTCCATCCATCCATTGAGCTTCTCCATTGGGGTACCCCATAGGAACTGGGTACCCCATAGGATCCATGGGGCTGCCCCATGGATGTGTGGGTCTCCGAGCGCCCCCTTCCTGCCCCACAGTTCCCCTCCGTGTCCTTGGCCTATGAGAGGGCCGAGAGCGACATCATGCACCTGAGGCCCCGCAACCCCCGGCGCGACCGATTGGTCAACGAGCCCCTGGCCGCCTACTCCTACTTCCAGATAGGTGGGGGGGCACCCATGGGTGGGGGGGGGGGGCACCCATGGGGGGGGGGGGGGGGGGGTGGGGGAGCACCCATGGGTGGGGGTGGGGCACCTATGGGGGGGGGGGTCGGGGGTGGCACCTATGGGTGGTGGGGGGGTCACCTATGGGTGGGGGGTGGGGGTCACCTATGGGGGGGGTGGGGGTGGGGGCACCCATGGGGGGGGTGGGGGGGCACCTATGGGTGGGTGGGTGGGGGGGCACCGATGGGGGGGTGGTGGGGCACCTATGGGTGGGGGGGGTGGTGGGGGCACCTATGGGGGGGGTGGGGCACCTATGGGTGGGGGGGGGGTCACCTATGGGTGGGGGGTGGGGGTCACCTATGGGGGGGGGCACCCATGGGTGGGGGGGAGCACCCGTGGGTGGGGGTGATGGGGGGGAGCACCCATGGGGGGGGGGCACCCATGGGGGGGGATGGGGGGGAGTGCCCATGGGGGGGATGGGGGTGGAGCACCCATGGGTGGCAAGAGGGGGGCACCTGTGGGTGGGAATGGGGGGGCACCCATGGGTGGGGGGGGCACCCATAGGTGGGGGGGGGCACCCATGGGTGGGGGGGGCACCTATGGGGGGGGTGGGGGGGGCACCCATGGGGGGGGGGGGCACCCATGGGTGGTGGGGGGCACCTATGGTGGGGGGTAATCAATGGGTGGGGGTGGGGGGCACCTATGGGGGGGGGTGGGGGGGGGCACCCATGGGTGGGGGTTGGGGTAATCAATGGGGGAGGTAATCAAAGGGTTGGGCTTTGGGTCTATGGGTCCTTGGGTGTATGTGTCACTGATCTCTGCCCCATTGATCTATGGGTCCCTGCCCCACTGATCTCTGTGTCCCTGCCCCACTGATCCCTGCCCTGCCCCACTGATCCATGTGTCCCTGCCCCACTGATCCCTGGCTCCCGCCCCCCTGCTCCGTGTGCCCCGCCCCCCGCAGGCGCCATCCAATCCTTGGCGGGTTTCACGGATTACTTCGTGGCCATGGCGCAGGAGGGGTGGGCGCCGCTGCTCTGCCTCGGCCTCCGCCCGCGCTGGGAGGATCCCCGCGACCAGGAGCTGCAGGACAGCTACGGCCAGCAATGGGTGCCTGTGGGGCGGAGACACAGAGGGACCCCTATGGGGCAGAGCCATAGAGAGACCCCTATGGGTGCCTATGGGGCGGAGCCATAGAGAGACCCCAGAGAGAGACCCCTATAGAGCCCTATGGGGCGGAGACATAGGGAAACCCCTATGGGGCAGAGCCAGAGAGGGACCCCAGAGAGAGACCCCTATGGGGCGGACCCATAGAGAGACCCCTATGGGTGCCTATGGGGCAGAGCCAGAGGGAGACCCCTATAGAGAGACCCCTATGGAACCCTATGGGGCGGACCCATAGAGAGACCCCTATGGGTGCCTATGGGGCGGAGCCAGAGAGAGACCCCTATGGGTGCCTATGGGGCAGAGCCATAGGGAACTCCTATGGGGCGGAGCCATAGAGAGACCCCTATAGAACCCTATGGGGCAGACCCATAGAGAGACCCCTATGGGGCAGAGCCATAGAGAAACCCCTATGGGTGCCTATGGGGCGGGAGAGAGCCCCTATGGGTGCCTATGGGGCGGAGCCATAGAGAGACCCCTATGGGGCGGACCCATAGAGAGACCCCTATAGAGAGACCCCTATGGGTGCCTATGGGGCGGAGCCAGAGAGAGACCCCTATGGGGCGGAGACACGGGGGGCCCCTATGGGGCAGACCCATAGAGAGACCCCTATGGGGCAGAGCCATAGGGAAACCCCTATAGAACCCTATGGGGCAGAGCCATAGGGAACTCCTATGGGGCAGACCCATAGAGAACCAATATGGAACCCTATGGGGCAGAGCCATAGGGAAACCCCATAGAGAGACCCCTATGGGTGCCTATGGGGCGGAGCCATAGGGAAACCCCTATGGGGCGGAGACACGGGGGGCCCCTATGGGGCAGACCCATAGAGAAACCCCTATGGAACCCTATGGGGCGGAGCCATAGAGAAACCCCATAGAGAGACCCCTATAGAGAGACCCCTATGGGTGCCTATGGGGCGGAGACATAGAGAGACCCCTATGGGGCAGAGACACGGGGAACCCCTATGGGGCGGAGCCATAGGGAAACCCCTATGGAACCCTATGGGGCAGAGCCATAGAGAGACCCCTATGGGTGCCTATGGGGCGGAGCCAGAGAGAGACCCCAGAGAGAGACCCCTATAGAGAGACCCCTATGGGTGCCTATGGGGCGGACACATAGGGAAACCCCATAGAGAAACCCCTATGGGGCAGAGCCATAGAGAAACCCCTATGGGTGCCTATGGGGCAGAGACATAGAGAGACTCCATAGAGAGACCCCTATGGGTGCCTATGGGGCGGACCCAGAGAGAGACCCCAGAGAGAGACCCCATAGAGAAACCCCTATGGGTGCCTATGGGGCGGACCCATAGGGAAACCCCATAGAGAAACCCCTATGGGGCGGAGCCACGGGGAGCCCCAGAGAGAGACCCCTATGGGGCGGAGCCATAGAGAAACCCCTATGGGGCAGAGCCATAGGGAAACCCCATAGAGAAACCCCTATGGAACCCTATGGGGCAGACCCATAGAGAAACCCCAATGGGGCAGACCCATAGAGAAACCCCTATAGAACCCTATGGGGCAGACCCACGGGGAACCCCCTATGGGGCAGACCCATAGAGAAACCCCCTATGGGGTAGACCCATGGAGAACCCCCTATGGGGCAGACCCATAGAGAAACCCCTATGGAGCCCTATGGGGCAGACCCACGGGGAACCCCCTATGGGGTAGACCCATAGAGAAACCCCTATAGAACCCCATGGGGCAGACACATAGAGAAACCCCTATGGAACCCTATGGGGCAGACCCATAGAGAACTCCTATGGGGCGGAGCCATAGGGAACCCCCATAGAGAAACCCCTATAGAACCCTATGGGGCAGAGCCATAGAGAAACCCCATAGAGAGACCCCTATGGAACCCTATGGGGCGGACCCAGAGAGAGACCCCTATGGGGCGGACCCATAGAGAGACCCCATAGAGAAACCCCTATGGAACCCTATGGGGCGGAGACATAGAGAGACCCCTATGGGTGCCTATGGGGCGGACCCATAGAGAGACCCCTATGGGTGCCTATGGGGCGGAGCCATAGAGAAACCCCTATGGAACCCTATGGGGCAGACCCATAGAGAGACCCCTATGGGTGCCTATGGGGCGGAGACACGGGGAGCCCCATAGAGAAACCCCTATGGGGCAGACCCATAGAGAGACCCCTATGGGGCAGAGCCATAGAGAACCCTAGAGAGAAACCCCTATGGGTGCCTATGGGGCGGAGCCATGGAGAACCCCTATGGGGCGGAGCCAGAGAGAGACCCCAGAGAGAAACCCCTATGGGGCGGAGACACGGGGGGCCCCTATGGGGCGGAGCCATAGAGAAACCCCTATGGGGCGGAGCCACGGGGAACCCCCATAGAGAAACCCCTATGGAACCCTATGGGGCAGAGCCACGGGGAACCCCTATGGGGCAGACCCATGGAGAAACCCCTATGGGGCAGACCCATAGGGAACTCCTATAGAGAAACCCTATGGAACCCTATGGGGCAGAGCCATAGAGAAACCCCATAGAGAAACTCCTATAGAACCCTATGGGGCAGAGCCATACAGAAACCCCTATGGGGCAGACCCATAGAGACACCCCCATAGAGAAACCCCTATGGGGCAGACCCATAGAGAAACCCCATAGAGAGAAACCCCTATGGAACCCTATGGGGCAGAGCCATGGGGAACCCTAGAGAGAAACCCCTATGGGGCAGACCCATAGAGACACCCCCATAGAGAAACCCCTATGGGGCAGACCCATAGGGAATCCCTATAGAGAAACCCTATGGAACCCTATGGAGCAGACCCACGGGGAACCCCCCATAGAACCCTATAGAACTCCCATATAGAACCCTGTAGAACCAACCCTATAGACCTGCCCTATAGAACCCTATAGAACGGCCCCTATAGACCTGCCCTATAGAACTGCACCCTGTAGAACCCTATAGAACCCCCCCCATAGGACCCCCATATAGAACCCTATAGAACCAGCCCCTATAGAGCCCTATGGACCTGCCCTATAGAACCCTATAGAACCAAGCCCTATAGAGCCCTATAGACCCCTATAGACCTGCCCTATAGAGCCCTATAGAACCACGCCCTATAGAGCCCTGTAGATCCCTACCGAACTGCCCCGATAGAACCCAATAGACCCCAATAGCCCTCGATAGACCCCAATAGACCCCAATAGACCCCTCTAGCGCCCCATAGCGCCCCCCAAGTGACCCACATCTCCCCATAGACGTTAGATCTCGTTCGGTAGATCCCTACCGAACCACCCCGATAGAACCCAATAGAACCCAATAGACCTCGATAGACCTCGATAGGACCCCAATAGACCCCTGTAGCGCCCCATAGCGCCCCCCAAGTGACCCCCATCTCCCCATAGACGTTAGATCTCGTTCGGTAGATCCCTACCGAACCACCCCGATAGAACCCAATAGACCGCGATAGAACCCAATAGACCTCGATAGACCTCGATAGACCCCAATAGACCCCAATAGACCCCAATAGACCTCGATAGACCCCAATAGACCCCAATAGACCCCTCTAGCGCCCCATAGCGCCCCATAGCGCCCCCCAAGTGACCCCCATCTCCCCATAGACGTTAGATCTCGTTCGGTAGATCCCTACCGAACCACCCCGATAGAACCCAATAGAACCCAATAGAACCCAATAGACCCCAATAGACCTCGATAGACCCCAATAGACCCCTCTAGCGCCCCATAGCGCCCCATAGCGACCCCCATCTCCCCACAGACGTTCGAGCAGCGCCGGTACCAGCAGTACACGTGCTACACCGTGTTCTTCATCAGCATCGAGATTGGCCACATCCCCTCTTGGGCTCCATAGAACCCTATGGAACCAAGCCCTATAGAGCCCCATAGACCTGCCCTATAGAGCCCTATAGAGCCCTATAGACCTGCCCTATAGAGCCCCATAGAACCACCCCCTATAGAGCCCTGTAGATCCCTACCGAACCGCCCCGATAGAACCCAATAGAACCCAATAGACCTCGATAGACCCCAATAGACCCCAATAGACCCCAATAGACCCCTCTAGCGCCCCATAGCGCCCCCCAAGTGACCCACATCTCCCCATAGACGTTAGATCTCGTTCGGTAGATCCCTACCGAACCACCCCGATAGAGCCCAATAGACCCCAATAGACCTCGATAGACCTCGATAGGACCCCAATAGACCCCTGTAGCGCCCCATAGCGCCCCATAGCGCCCCCCATCTCCCCACAGACGTTCGAGCAGCGCCGGTACCAGCAGTACACGTGCTACACCGTGTTCTTCATCAGCATCGAGATGTGTCAGATCGCCGACGTGCTCATCCGCAAGACCCGCCGCCTCTCGCTCTTCCAACAGGGGCTCTTCCGGTGCCTATGGGGCGCTATGGGGCGGGCTATGGGGCGGGCTATGGGGCGGGGGGGCTATGGGGCGGGTTATGGGGGGCTATGGAGTGCTCGAGGGATCTATAGGGGGTGTAGAGGTCTATAGAGTCGATAGGGGGGGCTATGGGTCTATAGAGGATATAGGGGGGTCTATGGGTCTATAGAGGCTATAGGGGGGTCTATGGGTCTATAGAGGCTATAGGGGGTCTATGGGTCTATAGAGGCTATAGGGGGGTCTATGGGTCTATAGAGGTCTATAGAGGCTATAGGGGGGTCTATGGGTCTATAGAGGCTATAGGGGGGTCTATGGGTCTATAGAGGCTATAGGGGGTCTATAGAGGCTATAGGGGGGTCTATGGGTCTATAGAGGCTATAGGGGGGTCTATGGGTCTATAGAGGCTATAGGGGGGTCTATAGAGGCTATAGGGGGGTCTATGGGTCTATAGAGGCTATAGGGGGGTCTATGGGTCTATAGAGGCTATAGGGGGGTCTATGGGTCTATAGAGGCTATAGGGGGGTCTATGGGTCTATAGAGGCTATAGGGGGGTCTATGGGTCTATAGAGGCTATAGGGGGGTCTATGGGTCTATAGAGGCTATAGGGGGGTCTATGGGTCTATAGAGGTCTATAGAGGCTATAGGGGGGTCTAGGGGTCTACTGGGGTCTATAGGGCTCTACAGGGGTCTATAGGTGTCTGTATTGGCTACAGGGGTCTATGGAGTCTAGCGAGGTCTATAGGTATCTATAGGGGTCTATGGGGTCTATGGGGTCTATATGGGGCTATAGGTGTCTACAAGGGTCTATGGGGCCTATAGATGTCTATAGGGGTCTATGGGTTCTATAGGTGTCTATATGGGTCTATAGGTGTCTATTGGGGGCTATAGGGGTCTATAGTGGGCTATAGGGGTCTATGGGGTCTACAGGTGTCTACAGGGGTCTATAGGAGTCTCTGGGGTCTATAGGGGTCTACGGGGTCTACAGGGGGCTATAGGGGTTTATATGGGTCTATGGGGTCTATATGGGGCTATTGGGGTCTATAGGGGTCTATGGAGTCTATACATGTCTATAGGGGTCTATAGGGATCTATAGGGTCTATAAGGGTTTATATGGGTCTATGGGGTCTATAGGGCTCTATAGGGGTCTATGGGGTCTATGGGGCTCTATGGGTCTATGGGGTCTATGGGCGCCGTGTCCCGCAGGAACCGCATCCTGGTGCTGGCCATCGTGTTCCAGGTTTCCATTGGCTGCTTCCTGTGCTACTGCCCCGGGATGCCCAACGTCTTCAACTTCATGCCCATCCGGTGAGC